CAGCTCTCACCAGAGACTCGCACTCAGGTTCCGCTGGAAACTCTCTTATACTCAGACTCTTCTTGCTGGAAGGCTGAGGAGGGAAGGGAACAGGGGTCACTGGTCCATCTGGAACAGCCAGCGTCAGGCATGGGGAGGTGACAGCACTCTCCGAGAGAGCTTTGCCTCCCAGTAAGCCACTTCGGGTGAGGTGGCGCTGATAGCTCCCCAAGTTTGCAGGGGGGCCCCCAGTTAATGCTGGGACAGTGGGCAAATCCAAAGCAAGGTGCTCCCCAAGCTACTGCCCCCGCTGTTTCCCCGCCGGAGGCCAGAGAGTTGCAGGCACGTTGGGCAGCGGCCGCGTGCTCCTGTCCATCTGTGCCCTGAGGAAGCATGGGTGAGGGCACATCCCCGGAGACCCAAGGGCCCAGCGGCCTCAGGCCCAGGCTCACAAGCACAGACACGCGGCCCAAGGACTGTCTGTGGCTCCTCTGCCCCAGTGTCTGCCCCGTACTGGAGGGATGGGCTGACCTCTCCCAGCAGCTGTGACCCCAGAGCTCAGTTCTGAGCGGCCTCCCCGGCCCGCCCCCTGCCCCCGAGCTGCACACCTGCAGGTGGGTGCACACCCTCCTCAGCACGTCATATACGCTGTCCCGGGAGAGCAGTGACACAAAGACATACTGCAACACGGAGAACAGAAAAGGGTAGGTAAGTGGGCTTAGCGCCAGGCTCAGGCTGCGGCCCCCAGGGCTGGGCGGGGAGACGGACGAGAGAGCATTGGTCCAGAAACTCACGGACCTTCTGGCTGGTGGTGGTGATGGCCAGGCCGTTGGGAAGGAGCCGCGCCATCTTGTGCTTTTTGATCATTTGCACCGACACCACGGGAATGACCACCTGAGGAGAGAGGCGTGCTCCTCTCAGGACTCACCCCCAGGACACGGTCCCTTCACCTCCTGCCTCGGGCCCCTGCCCCAGCTGGCAGTGAGCCCAGCACAGACGCCATGGAGAAGCCCGGCCCCACGTGGGAGGGCATCTGAGCCTTCCGCCTTCCCATGCAGGCACCCGTCCAGTTACGCCCCCAGTCCTTGGCAGCATGTCGCTCTGGGCTCTCAGCCTGTTATCCAGGTGGCAAGGATGGTGAATCCCATACTCCAGTAGGAGTTCCCTGAGCCCCCCAAAGTGTGACATCCCACTCTGACTCTGAAGGCATTTTGGAGGCACCCATAGGCAGAATAATTTGGCAGTGAACTGTTCTGGCCGGCTCAGGCCTGGAGTCCAGATGGGGGCCCATGTCTGGAAGGAGTGGGGCTGCTCCCCTGGATTGCAGGTGGGAGGCCCCATCAAGTGCCCGCAAGTACAGGGGCAGGCCTGACTTGAGGCGTGCCGGCCGGGCAGGGGCTGTCTCTTCCCTGGGCGAGGGCCTCACTTATTACTACCTTGACATCCTTGCCGAAGAGGCTGGCATGGAAGCAGAGCCAGTTGGGGGAGATGTAGAGCCGGCCCTGGAGAAGGAGGTCCCTCTGAAGGGCACAGGAGCACACTGGGAGGTCACAGGAAAGAGAATGCCATGAGCAAGGCCAGCCCAGGAGCCCCGATGCCTGGGTCCACACACTCAGGAGTCTGGAGTCCAGCCTAGGAATTGCTCTGCTCAGTCCCCTTCCCCGACCCGTTCCCCCAGCACCCTGAGCGTCCTCCCCTGAGACTCCTGCCTGCCCTCACCCCAGCGGGCCCACCAGACAGCTAGATGTTTCCTCCTCCTCCTCCCATGCCCCAGAAGGTCTGGCAGGTGTCTACCCTGGTCCCCCATGCTGGATTTTCACCCCCTCGGGCAGAACTCCTTGTCCTGCCCCACCCTGGAGAGAGGGCCGTGATTGTGCAAATGTTCCCGCACACTCATTGCGAGGCTTGAGCAGGAAAGAAGAGTCATTGATAAGAGCAGAAAAGAAAGAAGATTTGGAAGCCCTGATATTTCCTCAAGAAAACTTCCAAAAATTCACCTTCATATCTCAAATCAGCCCAGCCTCCTCCTCACACTTCTGGAGAAAAAAGGACCAACCACATTCAACAGGCAGCCAGTTCCCATATCTGATTTGTGCCTGGAGCCTCCAGGGGAGGACCTGGGCCACGGGCACTGCCACGCCAGGGAGACCACTCACCTTTGAGAACCGCCTCCTCCAAGGGGACGTCCTTAAACAGCCTGTGGTATTGCTGGTTGTATTTACTCAGTAGTGTCTGCAAACACATGAGCTGGGTCTGAGGAGGCCCGGAGACCAGACCACCAGAGGGGCCCCGCTCCAGCCACCAGGAAGTCAGGCTAAGGGCGTGGGGGGCAGTCGTCCTACAGGGGTCTAGCATGAAGCAGCCAGTAAGGGGCCAGTGGGCGTGGAGGGCTGAGTTCCAAGCACAGCTTGTCTCCTAGTGATGCGAGATTTTGACAGGCAGCCTGTGACTGGAGGGGACACCCACTCAGGTTTCCTGGTGGCTGGTCTGTGGCCAAGGAGCCAACAGGCCCTGAACTCAGACCACCCAAGACCCCTCTCTTGGTGGGCAGTGAGAAGTCGGCCTGCACACACTTACCCCTTCTCGGCCACACTTCTTTATGTTTTCATCCTTCACGCCTTCTGGCCAGTGCGGACTGCAAAGGAACAGGCCGTTCCAGGGACAAGGAACCCCCTCGTCCTGCCCATGCGTCCAAGCGCCAAATCTGCCCTGGCCTCGAGCCACAAACTTGGGGCAGAGACTGGAGACTGGGGCCCTTCTCTAGGGGCCCCTGGGGAGCAGCACTCCTGGATGCGGGGAGAGGCGCTGAGAGCCCTCCTCCCGACAGCCGTGAGCAGCGGCCCCCGCAGGAAGCATGCTCAGCCGGAGCCTCGCTCCCCAGGGATGCCTAGGAGCCGCCTGCCCTGGGCGTCAAACACCCTCTCCCAGTCCTCTGGCCGAGGGGTAGGCCGAGGAGCAGGGCCCGGAGGAGCAGGCAGGAGGCCCAGGGAGGGGGCCCGGTCTGGGGAGTGGGCACGGCGGAGGCGTCAGACTCACGGCTCCGGGGCCTGGCTATGGGCCATGACCCCGGCAGGACTGCCCTCCTTGCAGCCACGTCCCCTCGGCCTGGAGCTCTGCAGTGAGGAGCTAGGCAGACCCGCCTCACCTGACAGAGGCTACCATGGCTGGCAGAGAGGGGGTGGTGCTGAAACGCAAAACTTTGCCCTGAACAGGTTGGCCTGCAGACAGGTGGGCAGGGAGGAGGCTGGTAACCCGAGAAGCCTGGACGCTGCTGGGTCCCAGTGCGCTGGGACAGGCCTGGGAGTGGGAGGAAGAGGCCCCGGGCAGCCTGTGTCCAGCCTAACACCCTGACTCAGCCTTCAGGTCCGCCTTCTAACAGGTCACCTCCTGAGGGCTTCCCACCCCCAATCAGTATGTATATCTGACCGGGAAGGAGGCCTTACCTGGAGTCTGGGGGTCTCTGGACCCTGTCTAGTTTTTCTGTACTCTTCAGGGAAGCCGTCTTTCCATGCATCTGTTGGTTGCTGCGGAGAAACAGACCTGCATCAGGAAGGGGGCTCTCTGGGGACACCTTTCCCGGCCAGCTCCCCCATGCTCAGGGCAGCTGCCTCTGCCCCCACCCAAGACGAGCCCTGCTCTTCAGGGCGAAGCTGAAGACGTCCCAGTCCAGACGTAGCAGCCCAGGCGAGGGTTCAGAGCAGCTGGTGGGGAGGAGTCCCACTCACGTCTTCCCTGCAGGCTGTTCAGTTTATGCCTGGGTGTGAAGGAGGATCAGTCCACCAGGCAGCTGGGAGGCTCCAGCCCCATCCGTGAGGAGGCGCAGCGGGAGGGCGGGCCCTGAGACCTGCTCACGGCTGAGAGCCACAGCTTCAGAGGCACCGGGCAGTATTACCATAACCCATCGGGTCCCGGGAAAGGGTTCTGAGCGCAGGAGGCCTTATCGAGGCTGCGCAGCTGGCAGAGCACAAGTGTGGACAGGAACTCACAGGTGAGCGTGGGCTGGGAGGGGCGGGGCCGCCCCACGTCAGGAAGGGGCCTCGACGCCTTCCCACAGTCAGGGTAGCTCAGCCCTGAGAGCCAAACCATCTCAAAAATGTCCCAGAGGAAGGGCCCTGGAGGGAGGAGACGCCTCTCCCCGGCCAGGTGGGGCTCCTCAACAGCCTTGGAGCTCATGCCTCCGCCACACAGCTCCAAAGCCCGCGATTCCCTGCTTCCTGCTCCTCCAGGGCAGACGGACTAGGAAGCAACAAAGCCAAGCGGTCAGACTAGCCGCCTGTGAGTGGGCCCGGGGGGCTGCCAAGAGGCTGGACCAAGGCCAGGCAGCGTGGTGGTCGTGACCAGGTCACAGGGCCTGAGCAGGCGAGGAGCTGGAGCCTGGAGCCCGCGGTGCCAGCACTCCCCCCCTCTCGGCAGTGTAACCAGGCAAAGTCAGCGTTCCCTTCTTCAAGGACGGCTACCGCCCCAGCTGGCATCTGCCAAGACCCTCCGAGGTACTGGTCTGACGCCCTCCCACCCCACTGCACAGAGTAGGAAACCAAGCCGCCAAGGGGACAGGCTGTGCCCAGTGTCACAGGCTGAAGAGCCTCATGACCTCACCCGCAAAATCGGCCCAGCCACGGCCGTGTGGCCTGGTGACCTCTGTCCTCAACCTTATGGAGAGTTTTGGGACACACCTCAACACGTATTTCCTGAATCTTGCAAAGTGACAAATTGTGCTAGTGATTCAACTCTAACTCCTAAAGTTAATTTCTGGATTTGGCTCCATCGTTACACACGTCACAGAGGCTTTTCCCCTTGATTTTTTTAATGCTTACTGTAGAAAATATGAGAAATACAAAATACGTAAAGTGTGATGATCGAAATCACCCATAAGAAAAAAATCCCCCCACAAATCACCCGAAGAAAATGTTTATGCATGAGGGTGTAATGTAAGTGGGGTTGTGTATCACAACACTTGTACGCCCGACCTCTGTTGTTTAACCTGGTCTCTTGAGAAGCTCCCCTTGTCACTGCTCACTCCTCAGATAGATTCTCAGAATGGCATTAGTGGCTGGAGAAGGAACATTGCTCAGTATCTTTAGACCTACTTCCAAGACGCTTTCCAGATGCTCCACCAGCGCGTATGGCCTCCAGCGCCGCACGGGGTGCCGGCTTCCCCGTCAGCCAGCCCCACACTGGGTGCTACCTTTTCCTCACCGCTGAAAATTTGACAGGTGAAAATACATTGTTTTCACTTCTACGTCTGCTTACTGATAGGCTGCACACTCTGCCAAATACACATTAACAACTGGGGTTTCATCTGTGAAATGTCTGTAAGGATCTCCTTCTTACTTTCGAGAATATGAATCCTTAGTTTGTCATCTCTGCAGATACTTCCCCCCGCCTGCCGTTTGCCTTTTAGTGCTGTCTGTGGGATTGCTGTGAACCGTGCTTCATTTCTGTATGGTAGGTCCCATCCTTCTCTTCCCCCTCTCCCTTCCCTTCTTGGTTTGAGCGCTGCGATAGGAGAGGCCCCCGAGACAGAGCGTGGACAAGTCAAACCAGCCGAGCCCTTTGGAAGCCGCAGCGCAGCCGACGGGCGTGGGCCCGGCTCTAAGGAACACTCTCCAGCCTGGAGGACCAAGGGTAAAACGGGACCCCGAGAGGAAGGAGGAGCTTGGCCATGGCTCCAGAGGCAGGGAGCCTGTCCCTCGGGCACTGGAACGTGTGATTTTGAGTTGCCGGGGCTGCATGAGCTCAGAGGACACACAGGGTGAGAGCTGCAGTCAGGCTCCCAGAGACAAGGAAGCTGAGCCTTACCAGCTGGGTGGGACGATTATCCAGCTTGGCTTCCGCCACCTAAACTTGTGCGGAGAATCACGCCTCTGCGTGAAGTAAACCCAGCTCGTCCTTAGGTTCAAATGTGACTTTCTCAGGAGGGGCGCCTTCCCTCGGCCCTTCCCCAGCCTAGCGATGAGCCCTGCTGGTGGCACTCACAGCCCAAACCCCAGGCTCCCTCCGGGGCCCTTGCCGCGCTGGGTCGGTGGGCTCTAACTGTCCATCTCCAAGGGCCGTCAGGGACTCTTCCGCCACCGCACGCCCTGAGCCCGGTGCAGCGGGCACTCGGGACACGTCTGAGGACAGACTGTGCGAACCGTTAAGAAAGGTCAAGAACAGAGGCTGGAGGAGAGACGGACCATGAGAATAACAAGAGAAGCCCGTCACATCTCCCACAGCATCTCTGTGATGAAAATAAGGGCAATCAAATAGGAGCTGCTTAGGGAAATGTCTCAAAGGTGCTTAAACTAAAAACAACTCTTTTCTGTGTGATGAACAGGACGGTCACAAGCCATTCCTTTCATGTCCATGGATTAAAGCCAGCCCCTCCTGGCCACCCTGATAACGCTGTTGGTGCAGAGACCCTGGTGATGAAATGTATCGCCTTTGAGTCAGACTTCCCGCTACTTCTGTCCTGTAGTATTTGTTTAGATGAGTGAAAATAAAGAGATGGTAGCAAAGTCAGATGAAAAGCTAGGTCTGGGGCGATGGGCACTGAGCATTCACCAACAGAACCAGCTAGGCGGGGGCCCACCCAGGGACCACCAGGGCCCTGCCCCAGAGGAGGGAGGTGGCCGGAGCAGGGAACACAGAGGGGGAGTTAGCCTGGCCCCCGACCCTGCTGGCGGCCTCCGTCCAGTCCCACACAGACTTCCTTGAGCCAGTTGCTCTTGCTCTGTGGGGGGTGAACTGAAACCCCTGCCATCCCATCCCCTCCCCACCCCACCTCACGTGCAGACTGGGCAGTTAATATCGGGGTCAAGTCCACAACCATTCTTTCAATCCAAGTCAGAAGAATGTCATCATTGTCATGAGGGGGACATGACAGAGCAGAGGAGGCTCTGTAGTTAGGACGCTGAAGACAGTAGGAAAGGCCTGAAAATCCCTCAGATGAGGCCCTGTCTCCCTGCTGAGCCTGCTCCCAAGGCAAGATGCCAGTCCAGAGGACACAGCTAGTGCTGGCCTGGCCCTCCTGCCTCACTGGCTGCTGTGGGGCTCAGGCTACCTGCCCCTCCCTTCCTTCTGTCCACAGATACTTACGGAGCCAGTCACCCCATGAGCCCCCTACGGGCCTGCCCAGCCCAGGGCTGCGGGCAGGGAGAGGCGTCAGGAGAGGAGCCAGACACATCAGAGGTTAGGGGAGGGAGGGAGCGGGGATGCACAGGAGACCCAGAGAGGCAAGGATCTAGCTGCTTCCCGCAGACTTCCCAGGACACCCGCCACACGTGCTCTGCTCCAGGTGCCTCTGCCAGGCTCAGAACACCTGCACCAGGCAGACACTCCCCAGTCTCAGCCCCAACCTTGAGGCATCGTCGCTCCCGAGCGGCCGGCCCTGTCATCTGGACACAGGGCCAGCGAGGTGAGCCCAGCATCACACCCACCCCGCCAAAGGCTCCGCCCTCCACGGCTCCTGCCTCTCCTCACCCCCACGGCCACTCAGCCCCCAGGGCCCGAGAGCTGTGCCGCCACTTAGCCCACGACACCATCTACTGTGGCCACTCCCGCTGCACCAGGCCAGCCAAGGCCACCACCATCTTTCCCTTGGATGCCGGCAACAACTTCCCAGCGAAGCCTGCCCCCGGGCTTGCGCTAACACATCCAGCCCTCTGCCACCTCCGTAATGCCAACAGGGCCACCTGGGGCGCAGAGCTGGGCCTGCCCCTCTCCTTCTGCAGCTCTTTCTCGCCTCCTCCGCTGGCCTGCCTGACCCCCTGCTTCCTTGCCAGCCTCGCCCATGCAACTCAGCTGAGCGCCGTGGCTTCCTCACGTGGCAGCCCTTCAGCCCTGCATGTTTGCTCTGCCTGGAATTCCTTGTCGTGCATAACTACCTAGGGAATGCCTGGTCATGTCTCAAGCCCCAGCCCAAATGTCTCCTCCTCCATGAAGCCTCCACTTGTCTGTTTACACATCTGTCTCCCCCGGGTGACTCTGAGCCCCACCAGTGGCATGCCTTACACGTCTCTGTATCCCCAGCACACAGCAGGCACCTAGGGTTTGCTAACAGGATGAGTGAAGGAGAGGCAGAGAAAGAGACACGATGATGCTCCAAGAGGGAGGAAGGGAGGAAAAAGCCAGGCCCTAAGAGTGAAGGACACCCAACAATAAGAGGAGGGGTGGACAGGAGCTGCCGGGGGTCACCCACAGACAGGCCCTTCCCTCCAGGAGCCCCAGCCTGGGGAGGGGGAGGCAGACAGCCCAGGCCCGGCAGCACCAGGCACCCAATTCATGCTGGTTGACTGATCCAAGGGGAGCTCAGGTGAGGGGTCGAAGACAAACGGAAAAGGAGAGTGGGACTCAGACGGGATGGGATGTTTGGGAAGAAGCACAGGCTGGGCCCCTCCCTCCTGCCTGCACTCCCAGGGCTGCCGCACACACAGGCAACACTCCTCCAGCTCAGCCAGCCCCCTTCACCGCAACCCTTCCCAACCTCGGGGCCTGCCTTCCTCCCGGCCCCTCCAGCCTCTGGCAGGAGCAGTGCCCGTGGCTGATGCTGAGCAGAAAACTTGGCCCAGCCCAGCAGCCTGAGCCAGCTGGGCCTCCTGGTCACAGGCGCGTCCCCTCGGGCGTCTCCTCCTCCAGGGAGGGGCCCACACTCTCCTGAGCTGTCTTCTAATGGACATCTGAGATGCTACAGTGTCCTGTGGGTCCTGTCAGCTCTTCTCAAGGCCAAGGACAGCTCTACGCTCTCCTGCAGCCAGTCAGGGCACTGGGCCCCAGTCAGCTCCGAGAGACCTTCTCTTCCAAACAAAAACCACATCTTAGCATCAGGTCCCTGAGATGCAAACCCCAAGAGGGCGGAAACAGCCACCTAGGGACAGGGAGCTGAGCGGACATGTCCTGGAAGGAACAGTAGCCACTGGCACTCAGTGGCCTGGACCTTGGGGCACCTCCAAATTCCTCCAGGTTCCCCCTACCCCACCCTACCTCTCAGCACACAGCTCGCCACCTACTTCACGGAGAAGACAGACAATCCTGTTAACTCTCATATATAGCCTGCTGGGTACACACTAAAATTACCTGCAGGGCTTTTTAAAAAACCAGCTAAATAAAAGCGGTGCCTGAGCCCTACCTCAGACCAGCTGCATCCGCATCTCTGGGGGCAGCGTTTCGGCATCTGTGCACATTTAAGTTGTTAGGGATGCATAAGTTCCATGTGAAAAAGTGCACATGAAATTAGTGTACCACGCAATGCGTTTCACAAACAGAGCCGACCTGAAAACCAGCCCCCCAGAAGCCCCTCCTGCTCCTTCTGGTCTCACTGCCCTCTTCCCCTCACGACCCCCCCCAACAAGGATAACCATCGTCCTAATTGCCGACGATGGACGGCCTTTGCCTCTTCGGGGACTTTCCATGGATGGAATCAGGTGGTCCGTGCTCCTCTGCGTGGCGTCCTTTACTCAGCAACGCACTTGTGAGACTCATCCCCAGAGCTGCGTATGGTTGCAAACTGCATTTTCACTAATGTTGAGAATTTCATTACATGGACATATTGGAACTGATGTGTTCATGTCACGACTGAGGGGCATTTTACAGCTGAGCCTCCAGCCTTGGTCTGTTACGAAACCGCTGTCAACATTGCAGCACCCATCTGTGGACACAGGCATTCATTTCTCCGGGTAAACACTTCGCATTGGAATTGCTGGGTCATGAGGCTCAGCTTCAGGCTTTTAAAAGCTCTCGGGTGATTTTAAACCCCTCCTTTCTTTGTGGTTTAGAGGGAGGCGCATACCTCCTGGTCTCCAAGGGCCAGTCCTCCCACATGGACTCCGGACTGGGGACCCTGACCCTCCTGTGCCTTCCCTTGGCCCTGTGGAGTTCCAGGAACACCCCTGGCTAGACAAGGAATCACACTGTTAACAGAGACTTCCTCCGTCTGCGAAGGTCACAGAGCACATTCACTAAGTTGTGCCAAGGAAGCAAGAAGACCAGCCTTCGCGGGTGGCAGCAGCTGGCTCTGAGCCACACTGGGTCCTTCCCAGGAGCCTCCCCCTCTTTCTCTCAGGACCACTGTCCCAACATGCAGCCCGGAAACTGGTTGACAAGACCTCTCCCCAAAGGAAACTGGAACGATGTGGACAGAACCAGGCTCATCGTCAAGACACTGAAACTTGAAGAGAAAAGGTGATCTTCTTCTGCAAAAAAATAACTCAGTCATTTCTTGCATAGAAGCTGCACCTCACTTTGTGTTTTCTAAGCTGATACCCCACATCCAGGACAACCACAGCTTAGCCCTTTCCACCGACTGGAAGCCGGAAAAAAGTCCCCAGATTGAATTCCATACTGAGTGTGAGGGGGTGGGACTCAGTGAGCTGGGACCCCACCCAGCTGTCCTGCTCAGACACCCCAGCGAAGGACTCAGAGTGGGCCGGGCACTCAGCAGAGTCACAAACCCTACCTCCCAGGAGCGGGTCTGAGGACCCTGCACCCGGGAACACGCTTCGTTTCCCTGTACTACCTGTGGCAGCTCTGAAGTGGTGAGGGGTGTGGGGGGCCAGGGGCCGGCTTCCCAAGACAGCACAGTTTGTACCAGATGACCCTGGCCACGCCGGACAGACCGACAGGTGGGCTCCAGGCCCGAGCAAAGCCACCTGCAAACTGACCAGCGGCCTCTTTAGAATGAAAAGACAAGCTGGCTCATCAGAGCCCCTTTCTGATGAATCCCAACTGGGAAACAGGAGATGCGAAGGGGTGTGGCCAGAGGCAGTGGACAGGCCGGAGCGAGCCCAGGTGTGCTGGGCCCACCTGAGATGGGGCCTAGAACGAGCAAGAGAGCGAAGAGGAGAAGTAGGTGAGCCATGCCCACCCCCCACTGGGAGACAGCAAAGAGGGCCCCCCTCAGCTGCTCCTTGACTTTCCACTCTGCTCCCAGTGCCCCAGCTCTTGCAGCCAGGACCAAAATCCCCACCCCACCACCACAAACGAGGGCCCACGTGTGATGTCATTTAGCACATTCTGTGGGGCAGGTGGTACAACTTACATTTCACGGGCAAAGAAGGACGGCTCAGCTGGGGTCACTGGCAGGGCCAGGACTCCACAGAGGTCTGCCACCCATGCCTGTGGGTACCACACCCCAGTGAGCCCTCCGCGCCGAGGAAAGGGAGAGGACTCTGAGGAAGGCTCAGAACAAGTCTGGCACTATTCACCAGGGAGCCGCTGGGGAGAAGGAGGTGAACAGATCTGGCTCATAGTCTCCACTAATCCTTAGATCAGCTGTAGTCATGCAAGGGAGATACACCATCCCCAATACACAGATGAGGAAACTGAGGCCCGGAGAGATAATGCACCCTGCTCCTGACCACACAACTGGACAGCAGTGGAGCCTGAATTCAAACTCCAGTTGGCTGAAAGCACGCACTCTGCATGTGGCATGCTGCCCGGAGGGCCCTGAATTCTGCCCCCTCCTAGAGCTTTCCCTGGCTGCATGGCCAGGCCCCAGCTCTCCCCACGAACCCCATCCCTGCAGAGATGACCACGCAGGAGCCCCTCTGGGGAGTGGGGTTCCCTAGATCAGAACCCCCCCAAGCCTTTATCTCCCTCACTCCAAGAACCAAAACACTGGGCGAGCTAGTTGTTCAGGAGATGTGGGCTGGCCCAGCCCTCTGGGGGTGGCTGGATCCAGCCTGAACAAGGACCCCTTTGAGCTCGGGTGCTAACAAGAGCTCCTGCTACCTACAAGGATCTCAGAAACCCCTGGGTCCTCCCACCCAGTGG